CGTATTATTCCTTTGTACTCTAAGTACCTAGCTACAGTTTTTTGTAGCTTCCTATCTCTGTTCTGACCTGCTATTCATTTCGGGAAACCGTTGGCTGAAAACTGTTCCTAGTGCAGCTTTGAGGTAAACCTGGCTCACAGCCCAACCTCACTAAAACTAAGGATCCTAAAGAGCTGCTCACTCTAGTTCTATATTCTCCCTCCGAGGCTTTTCCAAGCACACATTATGGAAATTCAATGCCAGGAATCTAGTTACAAATTAAAAAGACTGATTAATAGCGGTGTATAATGACTGGTTTAATTTGTTACAGTGTTTTCAGGGCCCAACAGTTTATGAAGCACAACACCTATAGCAGTAATTATGTGTGAGACTAAAAACTGCTGGAGGTACAGTACTTGTTCAGTACTGTAGATATAAACATGTGACAGATTATACCTTATATACTGTAGATATCGAGTAAGCTAGCTACCTAGCATGAGATTTGGTTAGGAGTCACTTTAGATATACCATGTTTCTCTTCCTGGGCTTGTTGCCCTGTCTAGTCTGGACAGCACGAGCCAGTGGTGCCGTCCCACACATCAGCACCAAAGCCCAAAGACTGCTTAGCTACAGCCAGACCAGCCAGCCATCTACTACTCCCTCTTAAAGTGGATCAAATTAACCTCACAGCAGAAATGTTCTCCCTTGACAACCAACCGATTCTCTGTTCTGCTCTCAAAAACAGAAACTATTTTTTCTCCCCAAGACACACACACACTCACTCACTTTCTTGTCTGACCTTGAAGTTTCTCGGAGAGATCCCACTGGGCACAGACGTTCAACGTCTAGTTTTGATTTACATTTGGTTGAGTTGTCAACTAATGTGAATTCAATGTGAAATCAACCAGAAATGTAGGTTAAAAGTTGGGTGAAAAAAAGCCTAAATTCCCTTACGTTGATTACTTTTTGTAAATCCAATCAGTTTTCCACTTACATTTTAGCAGACGCTCTTATTCAGAGCGACTTACAGGAGCAATTAGGGTTAAGTGCCTTGCTTAAGGGCACATCGACAGATTTTTCACCTAGTCAGCTCAGGGATTAGAACCAGCGACCTTTCGGTTACTGGCACAACGCTCTTACCCACTAAGCTACCTGCCCACTTTGATTCAATGTCATCACATTGAATGTTTTGGTTGAAATTACATCGAAACAACGTTGTTTCAACCAATTTTTGCCCAGTCGGATTCTACCAATTCCCAAAATATGCAAGTAGATTACAGTAGGATTTTAATGCCAAGAAAAGCAAGACAGACATAAAATGAACAACACAGAACACACAAAGTCAGACACGAAACACAACTTCTTTGACGTGATCCATTTATTTCAGTTGGTACAGTACTACAGTAGAAGGGTTGTAGTAGAGGGACACATGAAGTTTGGTTCCTCACCAGGAAATGTCTTAAGACTTATTCATATACAATGAAATTAGATTGCAACTCCTTAAACAAATACTTGACCAACGCTTTCACAATGAAATGACACATCATCACTCCCCTAATGCTGTATCCCAGACAATGATATATCTCCATTTATGTCATCAACACATTCCCAAGCAGGCCAAAGCATGGACAGAGTAGCTTTATACATCAAATGGCTTAATCACCAATAAATACAAGTATAAAAAACACCTTGATAATAATTATCATTACCAAAAAAAAAAAAAAACATGATCATAAAAGATAGCAAAGGCACTCAACTTAAACCACCTTGGCAGTCCAGGTTCACCAACTGATACCAAATAAAAATCATAACCATGGCAATAGCCAAGAAAAATTATGAGCCGTAACAAAAATAATACTTAAATAACATAATACTATTATTATTATTATTGTCTTAATACCATTATCCAGTCAAGTTTTCCTATGATTAGACTTTCTGCTACTAACTAACGGATATGCACCAGTTATTTCCAGTTTGGCAGATAGAGTTTAATCAGATTCTTTCCATTGTTTTTTCCTGATATCACTCCTTAGATTAGGAATTCCCTGCTTTAGTACAGATGGAGTCTTACCATTACTTATTTGGGGTCAAACAAGGGGTTGTCAATGTGATGGCACGTACAAGTATGTGTTTATCCCTGTGTTGCTATGTGTTAGCATTTTAGAGAGGTTACTGTCATAATAATAAGACATGTGTACCAGGTGTACCAAAACAGGGGAAACATTCAGATCCCACTGACGTCAGATCAGTCCTCTGATCTCTTACGGCCAAACTCAGGGAAGAAATACTTTCTGCCATAACATAAAGCAATATAAAGTTTCTATATTTTGGAGAATCAAAAACAGAAGCGTAATGAAACAAAATACTAACATAGTATAATTTTATCACTGTAAATCCAGTTGACAATAAAAGGCAATACAAAGGGCAATAAAATGCAATATAATACGGAACGGGTCTGTCGTTTCAATCAATACCCAGGACTTTGCACTAGCGGACCTTTGACAACATTCAACATGTTCATTCTGTTGCTTGGGGGTTGCTATAGTTTCCCATACACATATTCTGATAATATATCGGATGTATCAGTCACAGATCTGCCGCCCCATCCCAGGATTGAAATGTGTTGCACACCAAGGCCATTCTAAACACGCCACACAAACACGTTCCACAGAACACACTCAGCCCATGACACAAGTTGCTTTAAAAGCCTCTAGCGTTCGGCCTAAAACAATCTCTTAACACAAAAGTAAAAATATAACAAAAGCCTGTCAGGCTACTATTGTTGCAAAATGAATTCATTTTCAGATGAGGTTTCCCATCTATGGTTAAAAGTTCCAAGGGCACATACAGTACCCAATCTATTTCATCCCCTGGATCATTAAAGCTTCTTCTCATCTTTGGTTTTTTTTAAACGTTCATTTCCTTTCTTTCTACTCAGAACTCACTTTCTCTATGTTACTTTCACTAGTCTACATACCTGTTTCCTTCAACTCTTTCACCCTTTCCAACAGGAAAGGCCTCTCAAATCTCACCATCACCAAGAACATTTCTCTTTCACTCCAACACTTGTTTCCCACTCAAATCTCTACAACGCTCTCCCTCTCTCGTTCACTCTACCATTATTTTTCTCTCTGCTACACGCTACTTTCCTCTAATAGAAACAATAGCTGGCTAATTATGCTTAGTTGACATAATTCCCCTGTACACACAGCTGGAGGCCCGACAGCACACACCACAGAACCCACCTGCCAGGTACCGATAACATCTCCTGCACCAACACGTCTCCAGCCATTGTCTGTGGAATGTGCTGTGTCATCAGAGCTCTGAAACAAATCCTCCTTCTTAGCCCTTTGTGGAGTGGGAGGGGGTGCCTGCGTTAAAAATTAACTAGACTATAACATCCACAAATAACAACCTGAGCATTGCGTGGGTCTACACATGACGTACACTCTTAGAAAAAGCTGTGCTATCTAGAACCTAAAAGGGTTATTCGGCTGTCCCCATAAGAGAACCCTTTGAAGAGCCCTTTTTGTCTCAAAAGGGTTCTACCTGGAGCCAAAACGGTTATCCTATGGAGACAGCTGAAACCTTTTTTCTAAGAGTGTAGGGTTTCTTTGTCATTTCCAGCTGGTATGACTCTGTAGCCAAGTTATGCCAATTGAGAGAGAAGTCCTCAAACCAGAGGCAACTCCAGCACTACAGACAGACAGACAAAACAACCACAGACATGGCTGTTTATTTGCCAAGGACATTCCAGGGCTATGAGAGGGCATCTGAGCCATCTACCTTCACTAAGGTGAGCAGCTCCAGACCCCTCCAGCTCACCTGGCCAGGCCGTGTGTTTCAAACCAAATCACCAAACTGCTGACACATCTATGGGGGAACAAAAAAACAAGAAAGTACTGCACGAAAAGGATTGTTTAAGACTCTGTCATCTCTCTGGGCTTGGTTCTTGTTCCTGACTGCGTTTTTTGGGGAATGGAGATGGGACTGTTTCATCTCAACTGCCGTTTTAGGTCTGTGTGACCCCTGACCTGTGACTGTGTAAGGCTATAGGCTGCTGTGTGTTCCATTAAGGTCCTGGGTCTCTCTCACCACGTTCACATGTATACGAATCAAAACAGTACAACTGGTGACAGGTTGGCCTGGCATCCATCTCTCTCCACTTTCAGGAAATGACATACATAATTTTATATGGATCTAAAAGGCACTTCCTACATATTCCCTAATATCATATGCTCATATATAGGACATGCGCTTTTATGGTGATATACATAGCTGCATGTTTTACATATGCAGCCATATTAATATATCATGTATACATGTTTCATTTTAATGGGTAACATAATAATTACATATGTCAGTTCCACACAAAGGGTTGGAGACATTGAGCTTTGGACTCTTCCAGTACTGCCAGAACCCACCAGTTTTCTATTCAACTAAAATCTACGCAAATATGAATAAATAATTAACATTGTCAGTTATTTTGGCGCAAGACCCTGGTTTGTTTTTTACAGGAAGTAAAAGATCACAAAAACCTGCTCTGTGTGAGTTTTAAGGTGCATTTTTAAACTCCAACTCAATTCATGGCTCGCTTCAAGAGCCAACCAGTTTCTGATTGCTGCATTTGTGATTCTAACTTGCCTTTTGCTGAATATGTAAACATTTGAACACAGCAAAGTCTATGGGCGGATGGAGGAGGCAGGCTGGGTGGCATTCTCTCGTGCCAGTTGTTTTTCTCTCTACATCGTTTGAAAACCCTGCTAACTGAATTTCCTTTGACTGAGAAGTGCATAACAGTGTATGTATAATATAGTTTCCAACAAGGATTAAATTCCCGGTAAGAAAACTATAACCTCCCAAAAAGTGTAGGTAGGCTATCCCAGCAACACACTGGTCAATTGTCGTCAATGACATGCACATACATGAACACACACGCATACACACCAACAGAGACAGATGTTATAGCATCAGCTTGGCCACCTGGCTGCCTCCTCTCTTCCCCCCCGGGCCCTCCTCGGCTAGGTGAGGTTGCTGCTGATGTCCAGGGCTTGCTGGTACACCTGAGTCATGTCGTCCAGGTCCCCCAGCAGGGAGAAGCTGCCGTTGTCCCCTGGGGACCCCAGCGCTCTGGGGGTCCGGCTGAACTTTGACCCATGGAGCGGAGGGGCCGCCTGGAAGCCCTTGAAGCTGGCCAGCTGCAGCAGGTTCTCGGCTGACACGCAGGCCCTGATGTTGGGGCGGTGTGGGGCGATGGGGGGCCAGTCGGGGGACAAACTGGGGGACAGGACGTCGTCCTCCAACACCATGCTGGACGGACGGCTCTGGCTACGGGACAGGCCTGAGTCACCCCCCGAGGAGGGCTCCCCGAGAGCACCAGCTGAGGGAGGGCCGCTGTAGGTGGAATACTTCCCATTGCGCTTCAAGATGCCCTTCCTCCCCACCACTCTCCTAGGAGGGGAGTTGCAGGCGGTGACCAGGGACATGGTGGCGCCCCCTAGCAGCTCGGAGGACTCGCTGCGCTCCGGGGAGGAGTAGTACCCTGATTCCCGTTGTTGGTTGTTCTTCAGGATGCCCTTCTTGGGGAGGGTGGGCACCATCTTAGCTGGCGAGCCCCCTGCCAGGGCAGGCTCCTCCTCTTCCTCCTCTCTGTCGGGGCTAGAGCAGCCTGCTTCTCCCTCGGCTGGCCTGAGCCCCATCATCGCTCCACCACTCCCCAGCTCCACCTCCTCCAGGCTGGGCGAGCGCTGCTCCTCCGTCACCCTGGTCTTGAGAATCCCCTTGGGCCTCTTCAGCCCTGGCTTGTCCCCCTCCACTCCACCGTGGGGCCCATCCCCCACTTCATTCTCCTTCTTGGACTTCTTGGGACGCTGGCGGAGGACCAGGGGCAGCAGGGTGGTGGGTTTTCCCGGCCGGGGCTCGGTGCGGTTCTGCCAGTCGATGAAGCGGGCCAGCATGGGAGAGGAGGTGCCGTTGTCCCGTTGTGTCTCACAGTCGCACACGCTGCTCTTACAGCCCCAGTTGACCCACCAGTGGTTGGCGATGTCTTCCACCGTGGCCCGCCGCTCTGGGTTCACCATCAACATCCAGCGGATCAGACCGCGGGCATCTGGGAAGGGAAACAGGAGGGGAGCAGAGATTAACATTCTGTTTATGAGCACAACAGGGGGCATGTATGATCGGGTTACATTTCAGTGTTTTCTTTTGCTACAGAGCATTCATTATCTAATAATAGTTCTACTTAGTCGGGAATGGTCAAATTTGATGGGGGTGGGGGCCACAAAAAATCTGAAGGGCCACATTGTGAGCAAAACATTTTAGTGGCCCCCCTCTTGACAGCGGAGAGCAATGTACTGTAAGTTTTAGAGCACATTTTGTGAAATTGTACACATTTTGTCATGTGGTGTAGAGAAAATGTTGCAGTTTTAAAGCAAGTTTGCTGTAATGCTACACATTTTGCCATGGGGCAGAAAGCAGATTTAGCAATTGTATAACTTATTTCATGCAATTCTACACATTTTGCCATGGGGTGGAGAGAAATGTTTGTAGTTTTTAATATGATATCTGAGTGAGACTGACTAACAAAATCAATTACCGGCCGGTAATTTGACCATGATTACAAGTTTAGATATCTGGCTGCTAAACTAATTTAGCAATCTAACAAATTTTTGCTGACATGGGCTAATTGACTGACTATCAGTGACTGACATAACAAGAAAAAAACTGCTGATGCACAACCAAATTTCTAAATTGCACCTTGTGTATTCTACTATTCTAACTCGCAACAGTAAGTTGAGACCCCGACTGAGTTATTTATTTTTTGTGGGGGGGGGGTTGATGAGAGGGCCTTCAAAAGGGGGGCCGCAGGCCGCCAGTTGCTCATCCCTGACTTAGACAGTGTATACAATCTTACAAAAAAAGGTGCTATCTAGAACCTAAAAGGTTTCTTCGGTTGTCCCCATAGGAGATCCCTTTGAAGAACCCTTTTGGTTCCAGGTAAACCACTTTCCACAGAGGGTTCTACATGGAACCAAAAAGGGTTATCCTATGGGGACAGCCATAGAACCCTTTTGGAACCCTTTTTTCTAAGCGTAGAGGGTGTGTGGATAGAGGGAAACTAGATCTTAGACTGTGTAGGTTGAGTCACTTTACCCCTACCTACATGTACAAATTACCTTGAATTTCCTGTACCCCCACACATTGACTCGGTACCGGTACCCCCTGTATATAGCCTCGTTATTGTTATTTTATTGTGTTACTTTTTTACAATTTTTACCTTAGTTTATTTAGTAAATATTTTCTTAACTCTTTCTTGAACTGCATTGTTGGTTAAGGGCTTGTAAGTAAGCATTTCACGGTAAGGTCTACACCTGTTGTATTCGGCGCATGTGACAAATACAATTATATTGTATTTGATTTGATTTGATTTGAGGGTCTTGTTCTGCACCTGAGGACTGGGTGGGCTCTCTGTAATCTCCATTGCTTATCTGGCGGATGAGGTTCTTGTGGTCTCCTCCATCGAACGGCATGGTCCCATAGACCAGGGTGTACAGCAGCACCCCCAGAGCCCAGCTGTCCACCTATAGCAACACACACACGTGTCAATACATAGGTCGCTACACAGATCAGGATCAGGATCAGATAGACTGAATGTGAGAGATTAGTCAGTTAAATCAGTCACTGGAGACGCAGTTGAAAAGGATAGGAATCTCACATTTCCCTTTTCCAATTTCCAGTAACTGATAAATGAGGCTCAATGCCATTACTGGGTTAGCAACAGATTATCAAAACATTAACAAGGAGCATACTGTATCTGAACTGGAACGACGTAACTATGGTGTAGCGACAGCTGAAACACTGTAAGCACCGCACAGCTATACCATATTGCTCTTGGCCCCACTTTCCATCTCCATCCTCTCAGCCATAGAAACAGTGATAAACACTAGTGTGGAGTCGGGATTGTGCCAGTTTGTTCCCATTTCTCCCTCTGTCTTACTTTCTGTCCACTAACCTAATGCAATGTGGCTTTCTTAGTAAATGGGTTATGTAAGACCAGTGTCTGGGGCATGGAGGGTGCAGGAGGGGGGACAGAGAGGGGGACGGAGGGTGGGTAATGAGTCTAGCAGAGATGGCAGAGCTGTGATATCCTGGCCCTGACAGATCTCAGGAGACACACTGCCAGCCACTGATTAGCCAGATGTCAGCCTTTGGAAGGGAAGGACAAGACTCCTGGAGGAATGTGGCTGTTGATGGCCAGGGGGGTATAGCCAGCCCAGCGCTGGGACTGAGGTCTGGGACTGGCTGTCAGGGACTGACTGTCAGGGCACAGGAAATTAGATAGGGCTGCCCCGGCAGCCCCACACTGACTGGACTTCCCCTAGGGCCAAAGCCAGGAATGTCTCACCCTGGAACCGCTCTTTCATTGGTTAACTGACTGAGACCTCTCCTCCGTAATTGGTCGGCTGGCAGGGCCGCTGGGAGGGTGAGACGGGGCGAGTGCCATTGTTGTGTTCTGTTTTTGTTTCCAGTGTTAGCTGTAATTTGTGGATTTTCCGCAACTGGGTTCTGTCATTTTAATTTGCAATCTCTGTGGGGGTTTTTTGCACAGTGAATTATACAAAATTGAATGGTTGGACTTTTTATAACGCACAACTCTTCTTGCAATTCGGAAAACGCCCTGAAGAACAATTACCTTGGAATTAGTCAATAAATCGTTTGGGGCTATTTTGTTACTCTCTCTCCCTTTTTCTCAACTAAACAACTTCTCAGTCCCACCCATCCTTGGCAGTGAAGTTCCTGGGCCTGTCTGTGTAACTCCTAAAGTCCGGAAGTTTAAAGTCTTCAAAGGGAGCTGAGACACCATCTGAGGCCTCCCACTGAGGATGTGAGAGTTGCTGGGAATAGTAACTGACTGGGGAGTAATCCCATCAAAGAGGAGACCTAATGCCTCCACCCACCCTCCCTCCTTCACTTTCTCTCCCCCTCCCTCTCTCCCGCCCTCCCTCCTTCCCTCCACCACTCTCTCTCTCCCTCCCTCTCTCTCTCTCTTCCTCCCTACACCACTATCTCTCTATTAGCTCTGGGACTCCCACCCCACAGTGCCAGGTCCTGGAGATTAGTAATAACTTCTCCCAGGGACAAAAGAAAACCAGTCTGTCTCATTGTGTCCGTCTGTGACCTCTGACCTGTGTGGTGCCTGCCTAGTGCCTACCTCTGGGCCGTGGTAGGGTCTTCCGTTGACTATCTCCGGTGATGCGTAGAGAGGGCTACCACAAAACGTCTGCAGCAGTTTTTCCTTATGGTAGAGGTTGGACAGCCCAAAGTCAGCAATCTGGTGGGGAGACGGAGACAGAAGAACATAGTGGTTTGGTAAAACATCATAACAAAGGTCATTAAAAGTCTCATGGCACTGACAAGGTGACATAACAAAGGTCATTAAAAGTCTCATGGCACTGACAAGGTGACATAACAAAGGTCATTAAAAGTATCATGGTACTGACAAGGTGACAGAAACCCTTCAAGCACCGGCATATCTAAACTCTATTCAAAGTTACAGACTCTGTTAAACATTTACAGACTCTGTTACAAGGTTACAAAAGCAAGGTCTGTAGAGTTTATTAAAAATGACTCTTTCTTACCTTAATGTTACAGTTTTCATCCAGTAGCACATTTTCCAGTTTCAGATCCCTGTGCACCACCCCATTCTGTAAAACAAACAGTCCATTAGTTGGTTCTAGGTTGGTACAGTAGAGGGCCATTTGTTTGCAGTTCGCTCGGCTTGCTGATGGTGTGGTGATTTACAGAGACCAAACTCCAGTGTTGCTCTCAGGGGATATAGTCAGAGTGGGCCAATTGGTCTAGTACTGTTTAAATTCCCTGCCTCACACTCTATCGTCTTTGTGTTGACATCTGCAGTGATTTTCCCTCTAACGTGTCACAATAAAAAAAGAGCCTGTAATTATGGACTCAGATAAATCATGTTCTCACAACAGCCCCGGATTAAATAGCAACTATGTAGTTAGTGGCCCTTTCAAGGCAGGCATTAACATGTGGTACACACAGGGACAGGAAACACATGCAGCCATTTCAGATCTGGAAGTGATGGGGTGACTTCATTACAGCTGTGGCTGGGTTCTGTTTTGTGCTGTGTGTCTTCAGTTGGTTAGCAGTGACAGGGAACACTTGTTCACATGCTTCTGGAGAGGGGGGAGGTGGCTCTAATCAGCCCTCTCACAGTACACCTCCTTCCTGTGTCAGTCAACCACACTATATCACCCCACCCTACACCATGCTACTCCACCCCCAAGTGCGGTTGCCTCTAGTGACTCATCCCAATACACTGTGATTGTGGGGCTCCCCCTATCTATGCTGGGGAGATGACATCATCCTATCCCAGCTGTAGAGATGATGACTAGGGGGGAGCCCAGTCAAACATCCACCCTCTCTGGAGGACCATGGTTGAATGAGGGGAGTGGAGGAGAGGGTGTGGGCTAGGATCCATTCTATGGGGGGGTGGAGATAATGGGGTGTCCTGGGGGAGCTATTGGGTGATCCAGGGACATGGAGACATGACAACAGATGAGGGCCCAGGGAACCAGAGCCGAGACTGGGACTGCTCAGTGCACTATGGGCAACACTGGCTTGCGTTAAATCTGTCCTCCCTAACACCAAGATGCCAAGAAAAGCATAGCTCATACTGCTTGACAACGTGAGGGATATATACGGTTATATTCACAAGGTTCTGATATTTCGCCCTGCATCTGATTTGCAGAAATGTGTGTGTGTTGCTCTGCAGAATCTTACCTTGTGACAGTGGTGCACGGCAGAGACTATCTGTCTAAAGAAGTGTCGTGTCTCTCTCTCGCTCAGGCGCCGGCGCTCACTGATATAGTCGTACAGCTCACCCTTACTGGCGTACTCCATCACAATCACGATCTTGTCCTTGTTCTCAAACACTGGAGGAGACAGAAGAAGTAGAATGGACACAGTCAGCATGGACACACAGACAGATACCATCTGTTTCAAAGCAGAGATTTCATCACAAAAACATTTGCGGAAAAACAACTAACTTCATCGTTTCAGTGGACAGTATTATGTTGAATATCATCTAAATGAGAACCCCTACCAGATTCAGAGCAAACTGGCTGTGTTCAAACTCCAGAACACGTTGCATCTCGGCACTGCTCATACGATTACATTACATCACTACCAACCCCACCTCATGTGTCTGGCTTGAGTCTTAACAACACTGCTGGGAGGGAGGGGGTGTTTTAGTAATCAGCCAAACCCCTTGGAGAGGAGAGGACATGAGAGGACATGGGAGGAGAGGAGAAGAGAGGAGAGGACATGAGAGGACATGGGAGGAGAGGAGAAGAGAGGAGAGGACATGAGAGGAGAAGAGAGGAGAGAAGAGGACATGAGAGGAGAGGAGAGGAGAGGAGAGGAGAGGAGAGGAGAGGAGAGGAGAGGAGAGGAGAGGAGAGGAGAGGAGAGGAGAGGAGAGGAGAGGAGAGGAGAGGAGAGGAGAGGAGAGGAGAGGAGAGGAGAGGAGAGGAGAGGAGAGGAGAGGAAGCGAAGGAAAGAGGTTAAATAGAAGATAAATACAGGAGGGGGCCTAGTTAACCAAAGGTCCATAGTGTCTTCTTGCCCTGACCTGGACAGTAAATCATCAACTTCTCATCATGTCACTAACTTTCACCACTCTCTCCCACATTCCAAGCCCCCACACTAAGCCCTATTCACATGGAGAAGAGATAGGAAGCCTCAACGCCCTACAGACTAGACACAGGACAACCTGTTCCACCACTATCTATCTAGCCTCCCATGTATCATTACGCCTACAGCCAGGGCATGTTGCCGTGCCAACAGCAGTGCACCATGTGAGGGATGAGAACTGCCAGTGTATTTTCCCACACAGCAGGGGCTCCAGGGGTGGAGGCCTAGTCACCGCTCTCTGCACCCATGAGCGAGCACCTTCACAGGCCCACCCCTCCCCTCTCCTTCACCCTCCCGTCAAGAGAATAATCCTATGGTAAAAACATGTTGATGCTGATTGATGGTAACCCTCCCTGATTGTGACTGTTCCGCCGGACAGGGCAGGCAGCACGGGAAGCGGGCCAGCTGTCCTGGGGGTCGGATCTGATTGGCTGACAAAGCCTCGACCCGGGACGACCCTTCCGGCGAGCCGTGGCAGGGGTCCGTTTGAGAGCCAGCCCCCCATGATTCAATGGGATAATTACCTGGTTTACATAACGGAGGCGTGTTATCCACGGCCCGCTGGGCTGGGTCCCGCTAGCTAGCTGCCCCTCCGTCAGTCACTCATTCTTTCTTTGTTCCACGGCCAGCAGGTCTCAGATCACACTAATTAGCACCTATTGTCCCACTGCCCTGGACTTTGCTTGGCCAGCTAGGGCTAGGCCTCTGAGCTGTTAACATGAGAGTTAAGCTAAATCGCTACCTCAGCTGAGTTAGAGGACAAGGAAGTTACAAAGAACATTTACCTTGTGTGTTTAAATGTGTGTTGTCTGAAGTGAGGCCTTTAACATGAACATTTAGTTCTTTGTCTTATATTTTACAAGGAGGGTAATGCACAGTACTGATAATGCAGTGCTTTTTCCATTCAAACCAGAGAATGAGTCGGAGAAATCTTCTTAAAATCCTCTCTTTTCTAAACCAGAGGGAGGTCCTTGTCAGGCTCGTTTTGTAGCCTTTAAGTTTGCTGGGGAACAATGGCATTACACAAAACAATACACAAATAGCCGTTGTGAATACTATTTCAATGGAATGGACCATATTGACTGCTTCAGGAAGACTTCTCTGGAAATTGTTCCTTTAAAATCGAGTTATGAGGTTATGAATTATGCTGGAAGTGACAAGCAAATGTGCTTTAAATGCTCGCAGGCATTATTTTCAAAAAATTAATCAACGCTGCACATCTGTTTCAGCTTTGTTTCACACAGGCAGTTAGTTGTTGACACGGGTGTTGCCGGATACACATATGTGTCTATACATTTGCAACGCTATTCTGGGCGGGCGCCAGCCCACAACAGTAAACAAGAGAAACACCAGAAACCAGGCAACCTCTCCAAAGAAATGACTGGCAAGGGTTGGTAGCAGACAGTGGGTCTGAGTACATGGCACACACATAGGAGGGAGCAGCACTCCAACTCCTTATAAGCTAGTTTATAGAAGTGTTCTCCTAATCAGCCTCTCAGACACACACAAACTATGTTAAAAAACAATAACCACAACACTCACTGTTGTTCCCATGACAAATGTCACTGTTTGACTGTTCGTCACCAACACGTGGGTCGATGAAGTTTAGCAGACTTTGAACCCAATCAAAGCAGTCATAGTCAACCGGTTTGGGCAGTGTTGTTAAACAATGTGGCACAACAGAAATAGGCATTAGGAATGAGTCTGATGTGACTCATAGTTTAACTGCCCTTTGAAATGGCGGTTCATTTGTGGTTCAAACTTGGATTGGAAAATGTAAGATAATACCACCTGCATCAACATTCTCTGTAAATCACAATTCCCCTCTCAAACGGAGGTGTGGGGTCAAGCCAAAAGAGCAAATATGCAACACAAGATATGAGTGAAGCCTTTGTCTGTTGGAGGGTTGTGGGACAGATATACTGTATATGGATGTAGCTTTGCGTGAGCTTAGGGCCTCTCCTCCCTGTGCATATCTGTGGAGTCAGGCTCAGGGTTAGCCTCCTCTCTCTCCCGCTCTCCCTCCTTCTACTATCCTCAGTCTCAGTCTGGCTCCCAGCTGGAGATCTCTCCAAGTACTAACAGATGTATGGCCCTGAGACCACGGAAGACACAAGAGGAGACCTCTCAGATGTGGGAGAGAGAGGCAAACCTCACGGACACCCCCCTGACACACACACGTGCACGCACGTATACACACACTCTCTGAAAGACACCCACACACACACACACTTGCAGTCATACACACACACACACACACACACACACACACACTGGATCTACTCACTGGGCTCAGACAGAGAAGAAAAGATGAATAACATCCCAAAACCGAGGTCCAGATCGGATGATGACATCTGCTTGTCATAACATGACAGTCTTACAGCAGCACCAGGCAGGAGGAAGGAAGAGATCAAGTGCTATGTGTGTGTATAGACAGACACCCACCTTCATAAATAGAGATGATGTGGGGGTGTTTTAGGGACGACATGATCTCTATCTCCCTGCGGATGTGAACCATGTCCTGCTCATCCTTGATCTTCTCCTTCCGGATGGACTTGATAGCCACCTGAGGACACAGAGGACAGACACGTGTTCTGGTCAGTTGACGTGGACTAATGTGTAAAATCATGAGAAAATGACCAGTGGAGTGGGCAGGTCAATCAAACTCACTAACAGATTGTGATGATAAATCAACACAGGTCAAACCAAGAGTCAATTCACCCACACAGCATATACATTTTAGTCATTTAGCAGATGCTCTTATCCAGAGCGACTTACAGTTAGTGAGTGCATACATTTTTATTTTTGTCATACTGGAATCGAACCCACAACCCTGGCGTTGCAAATGCCATGCTCTACCAACTGAGCTACATCCCTGCTGACCATTCCCTCCCCTACCCTGGGCCAATTGTGCGCCGCCCCATGGGTCTCCCGGTCACAGCCAGCTACGACAGAGCCTGGATTCGAACCAGGATCTCTAGTGGCACAGCTAGCACTGCGATGCAGTGCCTTAGACCACTGCGCCACTCGGGAGGACACTCAGGAGGGAGCAGCACTCCAACTCCTTATAAGCTAGTTTATAGAAGTGTTCTCCTAATCAGCCTCTCAGACACACACAAACTATGTTAAAAAACAATAACCACAACACTCGTTGCAGACAGCTCGTTGCACGTACATCAGCAGGGACATTTGGACAGCCAGAATGTTTGCTCTGTTGACCTTCACAAAATACAGTATGTCTTACATAACATAATCTAAATGAACACTCTTTGACCCTCCTTCCTAGAGCCCCATAGTGACCCACCCATTGTGACCTCTGACCTCTGCTCTCCACTCAGCCAGTCAACCCAGACAGGAGAGGCACTGAGACTCAGTCATCAGAGGCTCCTGCTGTGTAATTCCCCGTCTCTTAAGAGGAGAAAATAAAGGTGCTCTTGGCGAAAAAACAATGTGGCACGTGGTGCAGTAATGGAGGACTCCTTTGTACTGAGTGTTCACCCTGGTATTAACAGACAGCTAGTGCTAGGGGCTTGGTCTATCTAGTCTGTGATGTGTGTGGAGTGGGGCGGGGGCGACTCCCCCTAGCCAGACTCCGGTCTAATGGACATAGGTAGAACATCAAGGAGAATAGGGTGTTTCAGTGCTGTGGGTTTCCATGGCAACTGCAGCTCGGGGCGGTGTGTGTGGATTGATGAGCTGAACCTTCTTAACAAGCCTGCGAAGACATTACAGTAGATGCAAGTGCCAAACAAACACATTTTCAGGCCAACGTATCGTGTTGATTTACACCATCCTGCTCACAAACACTTACACATGTCGTACAGTATGTAGGTCTACACCCACATCTATTGTAAAAACTACAAACCAGAGGCCTAAGGTCAAGGGTGGCAGGTAGCCTAGTGGTTAAGAGCGTTGGGCCAGTAACCGAAAGGTCGCTGGTTTGAATCCCAGAGCAGACTAGGTGAAAAATCTGCCGATGTGCCCTTGAGCAAGTCACTTAACCCTAATTGCTCCTGTAAGTCGCTCTGGATAAGAGTAAAAAATGTCAAGTCAACAGAGACTCCCCCTAATGCTAAACATACATGTTTGAGCCCCATAGACTATCCTTACTACTGTATTCATTCAGCCGGTCTCTGTTTGCTAGCCTATAGGGAGGACAAAAGCTTTCCTTACTAAGAGAGAGGTCAATTACAGTGGAGGCCAATTCTACTCCAGGGCCAGGCAGCAGTAGAAACCACACAGTCAGTGTGCCAAGCTAATTACTGTGTAAATTCATAAAAATAACCCAACCGAATAACTTTCTTCATCCAGAGAACGACTTGATTACATAGAATTAAAAGAAAGATGTAAATATGAACAAGTAAAGGCCCTGTTTTGTTTCCACACGCTGAGTAGCAGTCTTTAAGTCTTAGTTAGTCACTGGTCTTTATTGGTTAAGTGTTGTACCTCCACTGTTTCGTGTGTTCCATTACCTCATGGGGTTATCAACAGCATTAGTACTGTATTCACTTCATGCCAAATCCTAAACCATGAGAGGGAACGTAAATCCCCAGTCTGTCTCTATGTGAAGCAGGACACTGCAGGTCTGTTTTTCACTTTTGCTGTTTTTAATTTAAGGGGTGTTCTTTCAGTTCCTATAGAAATACAATACAGGACATACTCTACTTGGAGATGGTCATGTATAAATACACAAAGGTTTATTTCTGAATTAATTTTTTTAGGGAGTACACAATGGTCTTACTGACATGACCCTAAGTCATGGGTAAAGTGGTGTGTGTGGTTTAATTTTTAGAGAGATTTGTGGACGACTGGACAGCATGTACTTCCTTATTGCAGATAGTACAGTATCAATAGATACTGCCCTTTGACCCTCATTATACTGTACGTTTCAAGTTTTTAATATCACATGCATGAGTACAGTGAAATGCCTTTCTTGCAAACGCAAAACCCAACAATGCAATAATCAATAACAATGTAATACTAGAAAAAACACACAAGAAATAAGAAGAAATATGTCAACCTATTAGAGAGACAGCCTTCCAACAATACAGAGAGCAGACAAAGATCCATCCATCCCCCCAGGCTCGTCTCTTATCCCCCTGGGACCCTGTAGTGGGTGGGGTCATTAAACACGCAGGCCTGTGTATCATCCACCTGCCAGCTGGCTGACTGGCTACAGTACTGCAGCCCTGCGTTTGTCTTTAAGTGGTGTGCTATTACTGTCAGTCACACAGATGGCTGCCCTACCGGCCTGGCCCAGCCACCCTGTGCCAGGTATAGTCCTCCTCTACAGGCTGTATGCTGCAGTGTGTTTGATGTGAGAGGCCACGCTCCGCTCCACTAGAGCCTGACAACGACCTGCGGTTTCTCAGCCCATTAAAATAGATGAGGTATCCATCACAAGTTCCCTTTCTCTCTTAAGATCATGTTCATTTGTGTGGATAGAGAGAGATATTTTGTGTGTGTGTGTGTGTGTGTGTCAGGGGAGTTGACAATAGCAGGGAGGACCCTATTATTGATTGAGAGAGCTGAGCCATCTGTTTACCACAGAGCCAGAGTGAAGAAGAAAAACTGCTGATAACTGCACAACTACAGCCCATAACAGTGAATCTCAGTAATTTTCTCCTCCCAGTTAATCCCCAGTGAATCCATTGTTTGGGGGTGAGGTAATCTAGTGCTTTAAACTCATATGAATGTGACTTTCTAACCCCTTAAGTGAAGCCCACCATTCCCATTATGGTGGGTTTCCCTGTCTTTAAACTGCTCCCCTCCTCCTACCTTCTCATCCCTCCCTCTGCTTTGGACCCCCACACAGGATATTAACTTTCCATTCGTGTCTCATTTCCTGCTGGGGATGGCCTTTCATGTGTCAATGCCCACTCTGGGCCCTGCTGTCACCACAACCAAGGCATCTCCTCCCTCACACACACATTTTAGTCATTTAACAGACGCTCTTATCCAGAGCGACTTACAGTTAGTGAGTGCATACATTTTTCATACTGGCCCCCCGTGGGAATTGAACCCACAACCCTGGCGTTGCAAGTGCCATGCTCTACCAACTGAGCTACAGGAGGCCTACGCATGTAAGCACACACACGCGCCTACACACACCCTTCTGTCCTGGCAACATCTACAGCATAACAACCACACGTGCAAGAGTTAGAATCAAACCACACATACAGTAGTCAAATCAAACTACACATACAGTAGTCAAATCAAACCACACATACAGTAGTCAAATCAAACCACACATACAGTCGTCAAATCAAACTACACATACAGTAGTCAAATCAAACTACACATACAGTAGTCAAATCAAACCACACATACAGTAGTCAAATCAAACCACACATACAGTAGTCAAATCAAACTACACATACAGTAGTCAAATCAAACCACACATACAGTAGTCAAATCAAACCACACATACAGTAGTCAAATCAAACCACACATACAGTAGTCAAATCAAACCACACATACAGTAGTGATATAAAACCACATATACAGTAGTCAAATCAAACCACACATACAGTAGTCAAATCAAACCACATATACAGTAGTGATATAAAACCACATATACAGTAGTCAAATCAAACCACACATACAGTAGTCAAATCAAACCACACATACAGTAGTCAAATCAAGCCACACATACAGTAATCAAATCAAACCACACATACAGTAGTCAAATCAAGCCACACATACAGTATGAGGACACAGATAAACCGACTTGCCATCCAAAGTGAGCAGCCGACAAACACAACAGAAGGTTGTGCAGATTCTATGTCTACAGGCTGTCAAACTTTAACACATGCACTCATGCACCCCGACATCTAATCAATCTCTCTTCAGTGATAGTCCCACACACACGTCATCAGTCTCTTCTCAATCTCTTTGCCCTTCTGCTCTTCTCATTAGCTGCAAAGGAAGCCGGGGCACGCCAGGGAAAGTAATACAGGCAGGGCCAGCAGAGGGATTCCATAACAGTCTCTCACCCTGTTGCTATCTCTATCATATGGACACTAGGGGCTCTTTAGGTCAGGGGTCGTGTACACTCTCACAGCACCATGCCAGACACACGTGCCCTGGGGCCACAGTCTGCACACCCTCTCTATCTCTGTTTGGGTGCCTCTGAACTGAATGTACTCAAGTGTTAATTTACAAAGGGCCCATGGCCACTTGTACTGGTAATAATGTTGTGACACATTCAATGGCAACTGTTCAGGTTGATTTATAATTAGCTACCACCTAGGGTTCCAGGGTCAGCTCTGCTGCCTGCTATTTGAAGTGGAATCATTAAAGGCTGAAGAACAAAGCCAGGCCAGGCTCACTGATACATTGACATTTTAATCATTTAGCAGACGCTCTTATCCAGAGCGACTTACAGTTAGTGCATACATTATTTTGATCAGGCACTACCATCACTCCATAAATCTCTAGAATGATGTCAGGGCATGTGGAGATGGCAATGACATACTAAGTGGTAAAACTGTGGTTATTAATGGGATATAACACAATAGCCTTAAAAATATCACCAAATGTGACTAGGCTTTTAAAAACAGACCCAAACAGACCCTGATTTTCACTTGAACCAAGCTGTTTAATGAGTTGGAAAACTTGCTATAAGGCATTGATGCCATAAAGCAGTGGCACCTGCCAGGCAGGCCATGTGAGGGAGCTATTTGAGCTATGGGTTTATGGTGCCAAGCATGCATGTGCCAGGAGCTATGGAACACAGAGGGACATGTTGACCCGACTGAGTTTCCCCCCTGGCATTCTGAATCTGAACACACGTAAGGAAATTTCCTCTCGTTCTGCCAAAAGGGGACCATGGGTAAAATTCTGCAGCACATAGAAATATCTGAAGAGGTGAGGTACATGGGTCTCCAAATATGGTGCATGAGGGCAGATGGTGAGCATTCAATGACATGCTGCAGTCCTCCAAGTCATTGAGAAACTCGAGGAACTTGTTGACCAAAACAACACCAAGACACAAACAAAAACAAAACAGTTGAGGGACATTGGTAAAAGGGACACAGTCATTCAGGCAATTATTATTTTAACATGCAGTTAAATTATTTCAACAACATCAAAAATAGGTGTTATTCTAGGCCAGCTCTCAAGTTTGAGTTTGCCTCTTAACCTTCCAGCAATAAATGGCACATTCCAGCCCATTCAGTGTGAGTAGGCTGAAGTATCTTGGAGGAGTGTTGGCCTGTTTCAATGATGTGTATCATTGAGGACAGCGCGTGCTAAAGACATTCCCAGGGCCTCTAGGGCCTTATGAGCACGGGGGAATTCCCAGAGGGAAAAAAAGATGCACATGCCTAGAGCTCAGCAAAGAAGCTATTTGGGGCCTCTTTGTTGTAGCTATGTCTCAGGATTGGGCGTCTCAAGTCTGTAGGCTTAAATTACATAGCCAGCCAAATTCTGATATTTTTTCCAATAATTGGTATTTTTATCAGATATTTTCTTGATCTGATTGGTCAAAAGACCAGAATTGGCTGCCTGTGTAAACGCAAGAAGAACTTTTACAGATGTCTCAGGCATACAGGGTTCTTGAAACCCCTATGCGTAAAGAGTGTTTAAAACCCCTATGCATAAATAAGTGTCTCACCTCTCTGCCGGAGTGTCGTTCAATTGCCTTCTTGACTTTGCCATAGGTCCCTCTTCCGAGAGTCTCGAGCAATTCGTAGCGGTGTTTCAGGTTATGCTTGTGGTGGTGTTTCTTGAAGCCTGAATTTCTCCTGCTGCCATCGCTAGCTGCCGGTGTCTCTGCCATTGAATGACCGGCAGGTAGCGATGGAGGGGACAGGTCACCCCTAGATAGTTTCGCCGCTGAGGTGAGGGTTTGTTTGGCCTCAGGACGGGTCAGCCCTCGGTGGGCCGAGAGACAAGCTGTTTCCATCTCTAGGGAAGTATTCAAACTAACTTCCCACAGTTAAATATCTTAAACTAAGCTATTTGTTACAAATATTTATACTATAGTTATACTTATTATAGGCCTAATAATAGTCGTAATAAATAAAATAAATTACAGTGAATAATGCGTAAATATTATATTAATGAACATAGAAATTATTCCGATTGTCTAATGATCACTCCCTTTGTTAATTCTTCTCTAATCAAAGAATTCTCTCCATATCTAGTCATCCATTTGTCGCCTTATAAGAGTGAGTCATTATTATACGATTAAATAAAAAAGCAAAAGGTTATAAAGGAGACATGTGACATCACCTGTCTTTACGCGCCTGATACATAATGCAATGCATATTATACATGTTTAACTATAAAGGTATATTATAGGGCTACAGTCCTCTAAATATGTATTCAGAATTCGACAGACGAATGCATGTCGAAAGCTGAATCCACTTTCGATTGTATGTCTCCTCGGGTATGAACAATGGTGCTCAAAATTGAGCAATCCAGAAAGAAAAAAATATTTAGGTTATTTCAACATCAGGCTATTCTATTCTCGTCATCCGTGTAGTAGCCTATACTGGCATTATTATCTCATAGTCTTTCGTTTATTCTGGGTCGTTCACATAATCTACCGTAAAAATGCTGCCAACATCGTTAACTCACAACTAACAGGCGAAACCTTCAACGTCATTGCCTCCGGAGAAAGCAGCGACGAAACCGGCGTTCTGGATGAAGATGACCCTCATTTTGTCGTCAAACCAGGTGTAACGTCATTCAGCTGAGCTCTGTGTATGGCGCGAGTGCTCCATGCCCAAGTCGACGTTGCAGATGCGCTATGATCGGATATGTCAAGCACAGACGTTTTGATGATTGCCATTGTCGTTTTGCTCTCCTTCTTCTTGTGCCCTTCTTCTCCCTTTCTCTCTATTCTCTAACGTGAGGGGCTGTGGATAAGGAATGTGAGACGATCCGAGTCCGGAGGCGGAGTTACAGTCCTCCTCCTTCCTTCTCTCCCACTATGTGCTCTCTGCCTCTTTCTGTATTTTGGACTGCTGCTGCTGACTGCTTTTTCCCTTGACAGAGGCTGTGGAAGTATAGCCCTGTTTTTGGCCAGCTACAGTCATTTTACTATAGCCTAATGACTAAACTGTATTTCAGACACAAAATATTATATAAAGTCATAATAAAACCTAAAATCGTAATAACCTGCCAAGGAATATCACCCTACCTGCCTTTCATTCATTATTTTAGCTGTCAAGGTTATTAGAGTGCAAGAGAACATTTGTTTTGAATGGCAACTCAGGTTGAGTCAGTTAATTATTAATATTGCTGAAACCTTTATGAAGTCACAGGAGGTCCATCACTTTCAAACCAATATTTTTTCCATTAATAATACATCCACTGCTGTTACTGTGGGACAGTCTATAAGAGCCAATGATACTTATGAACCAGGAAGCAAAAACAGAAACACGTATCCAATGTTAGGTTTATCACTAAATAAATGTTATGCATTCATTCTCTGGCATGACAATGACAGATGACAGGCAGTAAGGCACATTGAGAATCTGGCTGTGCAGAATTCACAATTCACAATCTAGCTCAGTGTTGCTGTCATTCCCTGGGGATACCACAGTATGTATGTTATCATTGTGCAAAATGAATTCATGTTTGCATCTGGTTCTACACAATACATTTCTATCTGAGGGTTCTGTAATGTTGCATACCCCTGAACAGACCTACTATGCCCAGAGAGACTCATCTCACTTCTGGTCCTAATCTAGACCCAGACTCTGAGACATTACCAGGTGATGACCTGATGCAGCCTGCAGCTCATTGGGTTTACTGTAATTGCTCTTGTTAACGTTGGGTTGTGTATGGTGTAATTTATACACTAATTAGAGAGAGGGGAAGTTTATGTCAAACATCATCTGATTAGAGTGACCTATATGATAGCAGAACACATTTCAAACATTTGTGGTATTTTGTTTATCTCTAAACATGGTCATTGGAGTATCCATTTATAGCAGCACTGACTCAGTCAGAGATTTGTATTTGATATGAAGCAAAGTTGGCCTTCTTTGCACTCAGGCAAATATTTGTTCTTGGACAAATATAATGTTCATACTGCCCTCTAGTGTGGAGAGGTATGGAGACATCCCATAAATTCATAAAGCTTTACCAAGTCAACCAAGAGGACAAAGTCTTAACAGTCATATTATTCTCCTGACACAATTTATTTCCAAACAATAGCAGCAGTTCCAAATAAAAATATATTCCTCTCCAGTAGGGTTATTGATTTATGAATTTATGATTTTAGAGTTCCCAGCTAGTCACAACCCAATGAGTTAACCATCAGACAGACGACGGTGGCTGCCAAATAGCCATAAAAGTGGATTCTGGGCAGCACCTGCGGAAATACATCTAATGGCTTCTACATAAAAGAGATGTTAATCTGCTTGTATTTGTCACAGTTGCGTCTAGGAACATATTTACCCCTATGTCATATTTTTTAAATAATATTCTCTAATCAATAAACTTGTATTTTGTAGGTTACCCCATGTAGGTTATAGCCTAGGACAGTCAGTGACAGATGTCACTATAAATAATTTCCATAACAGTGGAACCTGTTTCCATGTCAGTGTGTTCAATAATAGTAGGCCTAAGCTATGACACTATACATAGCCCTGTTCCAAATGTCAATTTACATTCTCTGCGATGTACCCAACCGAAAAGTTATAAAATATATTTATAAAAGACGTTACGTAACTTTATGGTTACAAAACACAGAAGAAAAAATCGGAGTAATAATTCACAAACTACAATTTCACGCTGTGCTCTTGGTGAATCCGAAAAACATCTCTGAACTCTGGAGCAGTGATCTCCTTGAAATGCATGGCTGCGTCCCAAATGTCACCCTATTCCCTATATAGTGCACTACTGTTGGACTGAGAACTATGGGTACCCTGGTCAAAAGTAGTGCACTATATAGGCAATAGGGTGCCATTTGATACAGAACCCATGTGTTTCTGCCAGGTATTCAGAACCCCTGGGCCACTGGCAGAGGTAACTCACAATAACAACTTCAAGATCAACAAAACTATTGGGGTACACAGTGGGCATCCAAAATAGAATATTTCTCATATGACATAAGAAACTAGGCCACCATAAAGAGAAAACAACACTGCTGTATTTAGAATGCCCAAAATAGGGCATTCCACACTTCAAGAATTCAGACAAACTTTGAGATTACATTGAATATCTGGGATACAGTCATTTAAAATAATAATAATACTAATACTAATAAAGAAAGAATGTAAACATTACAGGTGAATAGGCCTACGGTGTTTCTAAAAATAGAAACAAAAAAGAGGTGGGGGTAGGCCTAATTGGGCACGGTTTAATCCCAATGTTAACAGATAATTCCATCTTTCTTGACTCACACTGACTCATCTCATCATACATTTGATATAGTGAGTATCCCATCTGTCCGACATGGAAAGTTGGGTTAACTGCCAATAGAACAGGAATAGCCTGAGGGAACATGGACATGGTGTAACAAGGACATGCTGTATCCAAATATATGTATATATTTTTTACTTGATCTGATTTGACTTGTATACTGTAACCTATACAAAAACACAACCACAAGGAACCAAGCTTGTCTGCCAAGTTACTGCACATCCACTGTGACGCCTACCTCACATGGACCAACATCCAAGCAGAGATGTCGTCCAAGGTCAAAACAAGGTTCTTTTCAGTCTGGGAGGTTGACACAAATGGAGTTGTCAACCATGATGGAGGGGTCTTGGAGCTGGCTGGCCTTCCCAAGGATGGAATAACAATGCTGCTGGACCAACATCCAAGGAGAGATGTCTGCCAGACACACAGAGATCACATGTTTCAGGGGGGTTGGGGGAATAATAGTTTACTTCCATCAGCATAACAGTAATAAGAGAAACCATGTGAAGATGTGACAGAACCAAGTGACTTTGTGTACAGAGAGAACCAACACCAGGGAGGGGATACGGTGCGGACACTGACACTTTCCATAAGAGAGTGCAGAGCCTGAGACGTATTTGGAATAATATGAATATTATAGGTAGAACTTATCTGTGATTCGGCATGTGTTGCATTACCAGCTCTCTCTGCATCGGTCCCATGCCACTCCAGAACTACCAACACAGTGAGGGAGAGCAGAGCAAGGGTAAAGAGTAGATCATTCTGCCTAAAATAATTCAAACAATCGCCCAGGTCAGGAATCAGCATATGCTTTAACCATTCTTAGTTTGAGGCTAATATATAGGGTTTGTTTACAATAACATTCTTGACAAACAATGTATATTTTGGGTTCTGATGGGGTACGACAGGTGAACTAAGTTCATTAAGTATTTATATATGTTATATTCTTCAAGAATCAATAGGCCTAGCTATATCATAGATTTTAAAATCAAAAAAAGTAATCACAGATTTGACAATTTTTTTATATATATTTTGAATGTCTTAAATTTTACCCCCCTTTTTCCAATTGCGATCTTGTCTCATCGCTGCAACTCCCCAGCTGGCTCGGAAGAGGCAAAGGTCGAGCCATGCGTCCTCTGAAACATGACCCGCCAAGCCGCGCTTCTTAACCCGGAAGCCAGCTGCACCAATGGGTCGGCGGAAACACCGTTCAACTGACGACCGAAGTAAGCTTGCAGGCACCCGGCCCGCCACAAGTAGTCACTAGAGCACGATGAGCCAAGTAAAGCCCCCCCCGGCCAAACCCTCCCCTAACCCGGACGACGCTGGGCCAATTGTGTGCCGCCCTTTGGGACTCCCAGTCACGGTCAGTTGTGACACAGCCTGGGATCGAACCCCAGGCTTTAGTGACTCCACAACACTGCGATGCAGTGCCTTAGACTGCTGCGCCACTCGGGAGGCCCTTGTCAGTCTGTTCTAATGGCAACTGAAGAGGAACTATATTGCACTGTAGATGGAAGTTTAAAT